AATAAATAAAACTGTTCGTTTATATAATGAATAATAAAATATTTCACATTTAGGTAACTGTTATGATGCATTCAATAACATAGCGGTGTAATCTTAAAATTTGTTAAATTACTATTTTCAATTTCTGCAAAATATGTACGCGTGTAAAGACATTGTTGGTTCACAAAGAACAGATTTACAATGGTAACGCGGCTATAAAACCGGTGCAAGAAGACATTTTGGTTCATTTCACACTTTCACGTGAGCCATAAAACATTTTACTGGGCTATCTTCCCTTAAGACATGGACCGTTACCCGCGACGTAAAATGCAAATCCCTACAAACAGCTTAAGAGAGAAAACGATTCAGATCAAACCCCGTAAAAACGTTTCAAAAGTAGAGAAATAAATTTTATTATGATAATTATCATTTAATTACATCGTCTGCATGTCAATGTAACATTAATTGTTATGATATCTGAATTACTACCACACTCAGGTTCATTTAAATTAAATTACACGGCAATAATTTACTTCAAGTTTTCCTCGAATCGCTGAAGGCCTGCAGCGTGAATCAGCTCATCATCTAATTTAAATATTTATACTGTAAATGAATAGGAATATTTTTATTTATGTATAATTAAATTTCAATAGAATTCTCATTATAAAGTAAATTGAAAATTAATACAAATAACAAGTTACTTGATCTCAGGAAATTTTATTAGAGTTGTCTTTAAAAAAATAATATTATTAAAAGGTTTTTCGATTCTGTTTTTAAGATTGCGAATTGTAAGAAAATACTTTCCCATACCGTCACACTCTAACGTACGATTTTAGGCCAATTTACTCAACAAATAACCAATTTTAACAAAAAAACCATTACAAATGCTTAGATTTAATATGGGCCTTGGCAGAACATTATAAACTTCATTCAGGCCCTGTCGGGAACTACGAAAAAAGCTTTTTCAAAGTCTTTCGTTTCATTTTAACGTGTTGTCCCCAGCGGTCATCCTTCTGTCAAATATGTAATAATTTAAACCAAGAAGTCAACCTAAAATAATCAATAACTTTATTAGTTTCAGACCAGGTAAATCACAAAACTAATGTCGTATTCTTATGAAATTATTGGAGAAATTTCTCTATGGTTGAGACCATACGGTTAAAATTATAAGTAATTTTATTTACAAATTCTTTCCAAAACTTGAATAACCCATATATTAGATTGATATACCCATAAATCAGATTGAAATTACCATTATACCACCATTTATCTACCTCTCAAGTACTTCTAGATCATCTTTTTTTTTTTCACTTCTTCAATATAATAGCACTAACCTTTTCCACATCGGAATATAAAATGTACTCCTTTCCAACGTTCAATATCTATTTTAAATAAAGCAGTGCAATAAATAGGAGTAATGGAATCATTCGGAACCGTAGGATCATCAAGATATCGTTTTTTTTCTTCATCAGTTTTACCATTAGGGTTTCCACAATACTGTCCCAATATAACATCTTCTTTTTTTATAGGTTTTACACTTCAAAACTTTTAATATGAGGAATAATCAATTTAGTAACTGATATAATTGCGTCAATGAAACCAATCGTACAGACAGTTTATTTCTCTATATTTTCAGCACTACTTATTGAATACCCGAAGAGTAAACCTTACGTAATTTATTGACTGCTTAGGAGGTGATGCTGAGACTAATTATAAGTTTACAGCCCCGCCAGGTACAGTTTGAGATAGTTTCTAGCAGCCTGCATTTACTAATGAGTTTCAGCCGCATCAAATAGAAAACGACTCTTATCACTGAAGTTAGGCCCTCAACGTATTCAAGATCTCGAGTTCCATTCGCAGACGGTAAACTATCTTACTGTATAATTCCATCATCATTATGCTAAATATCCGTCAAAAGACTTCGTTTTCAGTGGTTATGTCTACCCTAGCAGCTGAAGTAACTTTAAGATAAACTTATGCAGAGCTTTTGAAATACTCGGAAAATGTGACTACATAAATAACATTTTGGAATTAATTTATGATTATATTTTCATATGGCATACTTATATATGAAATAGATAGTAAAGTAAAGTTTTGCGATGGTCATAAAAAAATATTATTATTTTTTTTTTTTTTTTTTTTTTATACATAATATTCTGTCACAGGGACAATAATTATATTGATAAATGAACACATTCACACCGTATATACAAAAAAAAATTAACAAAGTAAAACAATAACTAAATAATAATAAATAAAAACTATATACAATAAAAAAATAAAATAACCTGGTCATTGCCAGAACTCCAAAATAAATACTATAAAAGATCTCTGGGCCAATGCCGCTTCAACCTTCGAGGAGGGTTGTAGGGATGAGTGGAACTAGATAGGGATTGGGCTAGGGGATTTGGATGATTGATAAGGTTCTGATGGAATTTTGAAAAATTTTCAGGGATAAGGTCAAGGACAAATGGGATATTAAGGTCATGATGTAGGGTTTTGTTGGTTACATAGAACGGAGAATCGACTATTGTTCTGAGGAGTATGGATTGGATGCGTTTGATGTTAGAGAACTTTGCTGTCCCCCAAAGTTCAAGTCCGTAGGTAGAAATGGGTTTCAGGATTGTCTTGTAGATCAGTAATTTGTTGTCAATTGAAAGTTGAGATTTTCTGGTCAGTAGTCTGTATAATTGGCCGTATCGTCGGTTAAGTTCTTGTCTTTTAATTCTAGTATGTGGGTTCCACGTTAGTCTTCGGTCTAAGATATAGCCAAGATACCGGACTGTGTCTGAAAAAGGAAGCTGGATGGAATTAAAGTGGACTGATGGACAGGATCTGCGGCGGAGTGTGAAGGTAATGTGTTTGCATTTGGATTCGTTTACTTTGATGCGCCATTTATTACACCAGTGCTCAATCATGGAGAGGTGCCTTTGAAGATTTAAAGATGCTATTTCTGGATCTGAGTTGGATGATAGGATGGCGGTGTCATCAGCAAATGTTGCCAGGAAGGTATTGGATGGACAGGGACATCGGCGGTAAAAAGGATATAAAGGACGGGGCCCAAGACGCTACCTTGAGGAACACCGGCTTCAAATGGGTAGTAAGTAAAAAGTAAACCCAGTCATTTTTGATGAAGTATAAATTATGTTAGGTTAACACATATAACAAAGACTATATTGACTCTTGAAAATACAAAGTTAATGAAAGGGAAGAATTTCAGAAAAAAATAAGATTACAAACTAATAAACTTATTATTTATTATCAATTTAACTTAGTTATTCACTTATTATTTGTAAATATTAGAAGTAATTAAGGTCATCGCACATATAAGGTAAAAGTTAGTTAAGCTTAGCATGATATGGTTATTGGATTATTTGTATAATTTAGAATAATAATTAATATTTAATCTTCTCCTCGTATTCAGTGACATGTCAGTTGTATCCGAGTTAGTAATAAATCTTTTGTTATGTTTCTAAGAATTAGAGTGAAATCGAAGCTAAATACTCCATGTAGGAGTTTGATTAAAAATTAAAAGATCCTTTATCAAAAACACACATTCTAAGGTCTATAGATATACGATTGGAATAATACTTTTTTTATATTAAAATCGGCTGACCAGAAATTCCACTTTACATAACCGATTTCACACTATTTTACAATTTTACCGAAAAGGGCTCTAACGATTTCGTTGAATTCGGCACATAAATGTTATGACCAGATTAACAGCAATGTTAATTATTTAAAAAGAGAAACTAAGATACTTGAAATGCGGAGTTTCAAAATTGTTTACTCAAATAGTCTTTTTAGCTTCAAACATCTCAAAAGTTAAAAATAATTCAGCGTAGCTGTGTCTTCTAGGTCAAATATTAGACAGGAGGGATATTTAACCGTGCAACTATTCAACAATTTATTTAGTAAATTATTAATTTTGACTTTTAAAACTTTACTAATGATGTGTGTTAAGTTGACTATGTTGATAATATTTTACTGTATATAGGAATAAATATGTTTTGATGACAAGTTATATGTCTCAAATGTATTAGAGAAAAGAATAAATAGATAATGTGAGAATCCTCCTGTGATATATTAGTATAGTATGTAACCAAGATCAAGGAAGCATTGGAAAACAAAAACTCTTTACTCTTTTGTTTCCTGTGCTTGATTACTAATTTATATTTTGGCATGTGCATGTGCTCTTACATCTTATATCTTATATATATATATAAGTATCTTATATATCTTGGCTTACGCTTCTTTATGTGTATATGTGGCATGTCATTTTATTGTATATAGAATAAGTATCTTTTTTGTTATTTTTATTATCATAAATATCTTCCTATTTATCTTTAGTTGTATATAGTAATTATGTTTAAATTCTCTCTTTTTTTCCTTGTATCTTATTTCTTTTTATTGTGCATTTAACTCTTTAGAGATGAAAGGCTGGTAAGCCAGGAGCCCAACAAATAAAAATTCCTATGGAAAATTATATTTATTAACACTTATTTTATGAACTTTTTATTTATCCTTTTTTTTTGGTCATAATTAATTCCTTCAGTCCCCTTATTTATTTACAACTAGCAGTAGTAATTATTAATTAATAATATCCAGGAATCGTAATCATCATCCGTGACACTACAACTCCTTTAGGGTCAAGGCCTCCTGCAGATTGGTCCGCTAGTCTTCTCTATTGGTTGCCGCTGCTCTCCAATTGCGGATTCCCAAGATAGACCTGGCATCCAATGGCACTCCATCGATCTATGGGAGCCGAGGTCTTCCCACTCTTCCTGTCCCATAAACCCTTCAGTCTAGGACCATCCTGGATATATAGGTCATTCTAATCAAATGACCTATATATCCAGAAATCGTTGCGATAAATTCATATCATTCCGTTGCTTTTTCTACGTGATGATCAAGAATTGTAATATTCTTGAAAAATACGTTAGTAGTAGTTAATATTTAATAATATCCAAGAATCATCATCATCATCATCCGTGGCGCTACTACTCTTGTAGGGTCAAGGCCTACTGCAGCTTGCTCCTCCAGTCTTCTCTATTGGTTACAAGTGCTCTCAAATTGCGCCTTCTCAAGATGGACCTGGCTGGCATCCGCTGCCACTTGGAGCCGAAGTCATCCAACTCTTCATGTGCCATAATTTCTTTCGTAGAGAACCATCCTAGGAATCTGATACTGGGTCATTCTAATTAAAAAGACCAATATATCCTGGAATCGCTACGATAAATTATTGTCATTCCATTGACAAGTTTTCATATCGAGTCTGGGCTTCCAAGTTTTCATTGCTTATTCCAGGTTATGAAGAAGAACTGTATTTTTCTTGAAAACGTCATTCTTCTTATGAGCATCAATACTTCAAGACTGTTTTCTAGGTGCATTATTTTATAATTGAAAGGTTACTTTTCTAAATTTGAAGGTTTCCACAATATCCAATCAATATATTTTACTTGATTAATTGACGTATTTTACGCGCCAATCTAAACCAGTCTAATGGTATTGCTTCCAGAACCAAAAAGCTCTCACTCCAGTCAATGAAGTCCAAAACCAAATAAGACATTACCTATCAAAAACGATATGTGATCCCATATTTGCTTAATCAGAATCATATAATCTTACAAACGAAATGCAAAATACAAAAAAAAATTCAGTATAACCAACAGTTTTGCTTGTTAAGTTGATAGCTAAAGATTTGTTTTTGTTTTATAAAATGAAAAGAAAGAAAAAATGTGGAAGAGTTTGCTGGGAAGAGAAAAAGTCAGCAATTTGCGAAGGGAGACGAGAACAAATGCTTGGATTACTTTATATGCTAATACGGCCTTACACGCCAATGCATGTTCTTCAAACAAAAAACTATTTGAGATGTAAAATAAGTTCCCCTCATTTAATCAACTTGTCAGCCATCCGTTATCAAGTCTTTGGGATGCAGGGCGTAGAATTTCTCAGCAGAAGAAATTGGTAGGATTACACCCAACAGTGACTAGCTGGTGGATTATACGATTTTTCTGGAATTCGCTTAAAATACTCCTTGTCACCTTCCTTTTTCTTTTTTTCTTACAAAATGTGTACATTCACATTTAAAAAAAAAAATAAATTCACTTATTTTTCGAACAATTTCAGGCCTCTTTTATGGTATATATATTGAGATTTATATATGATTGCATAAAATATATTCAGTGAGAGGCATATCGAGTCATATAAAGTTTTTATTGGTGCCGTTGTTTCATCCCAAACATGTGGACATCAGGGCTGAAAAATCGTTTAATGTATTCAGAGATATAATATAATACGACAGAAAATGGTTAATAATAACAAAATAACAAGTGACTGATTATACATGAACTAGGCAAATGAAATATGTACCATATTCTTGAATTTGAATTTGAATTTAACAACAGTTAAAATGTTTGAACACTAAGTAATTAAAGCTAGTATGTTTCAATCTTTATTAACTTAAATCCCTTATCGTTCCAATTTTTTTGGTTTAATATTGATTCTACATTTATTACAATAGTCTACCAGGTATTATTAATTTATATAAAAAATATTTATTTATTATAATGATAAAGGGGTGAACGCACCAGCTATGAACATGGAGCAAAGTGATAGGCAAGTTGGACTTAAAATGTAAATAATAAGCTTCCTTGTTGATTTAAAAGTTCCTGTTTTTTTTTTGTAGATTGAACAACAATGATCTCTATTGACAACTGTATGAACAAAGTTGCCAAAAGAAAATTTTAGAATGTCTAGCATTGTTGTTTCTATAGTGCTCTACAGATCAGTGTGTTTCTCATATCTTCCTACTAACAATGTTGCTAAAAGTAAGTTAAACATTTATGCTATCACATCTTTATAGGTAAATAAATAATTTTAGAATTTTTCTGAGGTATGATCATTACTGGTAAAGACTATCTGTCCATTAGTAGAACAATTGAACTTCGGGGTGTCCATCTTTAGTGCAAAAAAATGGTGTTTTTTTAATAGTGAATATACCTGCGTAATATTGTTTTCAATTTTAAAGTGTTAAACTGAAAAATGAGACCCCAGAGATTCTAAATGTACAACGGAGAAGTTCATAACTATAATAATTACGGCGACATAAGCCAAACGTTTTCTTAACTATGTCCATCGCTAGTGCGCTTACTCTACCGCCAAACTTAAGAAAGAACAAACTTAAAAAAGTAAACCCAGTCATTTTTTGATGAAGTATAAATTATGATAGGTTAACACATATAACAGTGACTGTATTGACTCTTGAAAATACAATGTTAATGAAAGGGAAGAATTTCAGAAAAAAATAAGATTACAAACTAATAAACTTATTATTTATTATAAATTTAACTTATTTATTCACTTATTTTTTTTAAATATTAGAAGTCATTAAGGTAATCGCACATATAAAGTAAAAGTTAGTTAAGCTTAGCATGATATTGTTATTGGATTATTTGTATAATTTATAATAATAATTAATATTTAATCTTCTCCTCGTATTCAGTGACATGTCAGTTGTATCCGTAATAGTTATAAATCTTTTGTTATGTTTCTAAGAATTAGAGTGAAATCTTAGCTAAATACGCCATATATGTTGGTCTTCTATTGACATGTGGAGTTCAGCATGTAGGGTTTTGTTAGTCACGTACCAGGTTGATTTTGTTATGAGGCGTGACGTTTTTTATTTGAAATGTTTGACATGCTGGTAAGTTGGCTTTTTCGGCTATACCGTATTTTATGTGAGGACTATTTCTATATATAGGTTTGAGTAAATATATGTACGTATTTAGTTTATGCACCTGTTTGTTTTGTTTTTCGTTGAAAATTTAGAAAAATGTGAGTAAATTATTTTGAGTCTGTGCGGACTCCTATAATATAGTAACTGAAACATAAGATATAACACTCAGTTTTCGGCATCCTTAAGGAAACTTCAAAATGAGTTTGTCCAGTTTACAATCGCGTGAGTCCTTTGTTTATAAATTTTTGTTTCTTTAAGTCAGTAAAGATCTCTCATTTCAAAATAATGTATTCTTTTTTTTTTCGAAGTAAAACTAAAAAAATGAAAAATAACTGCATACTTTAGTTTTTGGCATCCCTTTCCCAATTTTCAAAAATCTAAATAATTAAATCTTACAATCTTCAGAATAAAAGAGCTACAATGATATCGTGCAGGAATCTATGTTTCTTGCTAAAAAGATAAGACACATCCTTCCAGGACTACACTTGTCGGGATTCTAGTCTTCAACGATTTTTTGGTTAAGTTACTGTCGATATGGAGAGTGATTGTTAAATCATGTATTTTAAAACAAAATTTAATGATATATAATGTAAAAACATATCAGGTATCCTTATTTTTATCATATTTAAGAAAAAAACAGTTATTGCCCAAAAACATTATTATTCAAATATTAATTACTTTCTTGACTTTAAAGATCTTGTTGATATTTAGCCGCCTGAACCAGTCTTCTTCACCAATGCCTATCTTGGGCTACTTCCTCACATTTTGCTCCATGGTTTCGAGTTTAGGAACTTGCTAGTTCGTTTCAAAGATTATAAAACTTTTTAAAAGGAGAATTCTATAGCGTCAGAAAGAAAAAAAAAGTAGAAGAGCAGAACAGAGTTCCACATGAGTTCGCATAGAAAGGATTTAAATCAGTTCTGGAAGAAAGAACATCCAACGACTATAACGTCTCGGATCAGCCTTTATCACGTTGTAAGTCTAAGTAACTCTCCTCTAAGTATCATAGACCAAAGAAAGTTCTTGTTTTTTCTATTTATTTATTTTTTAAATTGTATTTATTTAATTTTTTTTTTTTTGCTCAGCCAGCAGATATAACTTTTTTTTCTCTTGTCATTGCATACCAAGTAGATCTTTCGCCGCCTTACCAAGCCTGATCCATCTGAGCGTTAAATAGCTCATTTCTTTCCATTTATCTGAACGCAGCTCTGTTGCACCTTTGTTTATTCTATCGATCCATCTGCTTTTTGGTCTTCCACGTGGTCTTTTGCCTTCCATTAAGGCATTCATAGTAACGTAGAGGATTCCAGATGGACTGCTACGAGCTACATGCCCGCCCAGCCCATCTTAATATCCATGCCTTCATATCATGGGATATTGATTGACCAGTTTCTGTAAGCAGTTCTTTATTGGTATTTTTTCTCCACGTCCAGATCGCTCCGGTTATCGTATGGAGGATTTTCCTCTCAAATCTTTTAACAGTTTTTTCTAGGTTGCTGATTAGTGTCCAGGTATCACATATATTAGAACTGGCTTCATCATAGCATTGTACATCCTTAGTTTGAAGTTTCTTGTTATTTTTCGTGACTTCAATACCTTTGAGAAAGCTCTGTTTGCACTAGTTATACGCTGGTCTATTTCTGCAGATATAACTATAAATAAAAATACATATATACTTAATTAATGGGGTCGATAACCTAAAGGTTTTATGTCTTAACTTCGTTTTAAGCGACCGATTTCCTTGTATGTCACACTGTATTAAAGTGCGTTCATGTTAAGTTAATATTGTAATTAGTGAAAGTGAACCGATATATATATATATATATATATATATATATATATATATATATATATATATATATATATATATATATATATATATATATATATACAAAAATGAAAGTAAATAGGAACAAATTAAAAAAGTAAATAAATAAAACAATTTAAATAAAAATTAACAAAAAAGATATAAAATAATAATAAGTCGCAAATTAAAGGATAAACCGACTTATTATCAACAACGTATTATACATAATAATTAACAGTATACGTCAGCAAAGATGGGCAAATTCTAGTCTTGGGATTCACTAGAAGTACCTTATTCTGCCTAGTATATACCATTAACTTTGAAGTAAAAATGTAGCAAACCAGATGGTTCTCATTTCTTATCCTATTATCTCACATTAGGGAATTATTTATGCGATAATTAAGTTTAAAATTACTGCACACGAAGGGGAAACGATACTAGTTTGCAGTAAAACTTCCAAATTGTAACTTTTGTTTTTTCTCCTAAACCCAACGTCCAACTGCAGCGTTAGCTCACCCCAGTGTGCCACGGTTCAAATAATAATTTACTTTAAAATGATTAGTTGTTGGAAAATATCCCTCTAGTTCGATGATTAAAGAACGACCATATATTCACACTTATTTGCCTTCAAGTCAATTTAATAAACACATCTAGTGTTTGATTACTATTTATTAACGAATTTTTGGAGGAATCATTGTTCTCCATTCAGAAACTAAAATCATACAATTAATATTTGTTCTACCATAAACCAACCACTTCAATTGTGAAATAGTACAAGTTAGAGAAAAGCTGTCTCTTATTGCTTAAATATTAAACTGTAGGAATATTTTGTAGTGGGCAAATCACTATTCAAATTCTAAAATTAACAGCCACTCTAAGTATACTACTCAAATTGAATCACTATTGGAAATTCAATCACTACCTTAGTTAATCGTTTGACATCAACTGAAATAATAGTTGAATTATTTAGTACTCAGAAAAGTTCAGTATTTGAGTAAAATACTTGGTACTCATTACTCAGAGTAGCATGTGCTCATCTCTGGTATCAAGCTTTACCAATACGAAGAAGACTATCTTGAGAATCTTGATATGGTGGCCAATAGGGCTGACGTGTACAAACTACGCGTTGCTCGGAAACCTGATGGATCCCTCATAAAAGTCTCGGGAGATTATATCATGTATAAAAATTATGAGTGATAATTAACATAATTACTGTAGAACGAACAATATAATACTATATATAAAAATAAATTTATACAAATGTTTATGTGAATATTAATCATTTTACGGATGATAAATATTCAGGACGCAGTAATTATAAAAATATTTATATTTGTGCCGACGTTTCAACACAAACATGTGGGTGGTTATCAAGGCGTGGTTCGAGCACTGGAGGCTTACAAGTACTGACACAGTATGATCTACCCTGATGATGACTGTGCCATGTTTGGGTTGAAACGTCGGCACAAATATAAAAAAAATTATAATGACTGCGTCCTGAGTAGTAATCATCCATGGTATTTAGAACAGTCGAATAGCTTCCTTCATTAATTCATTAGTCATTTTATTTCATTATTCCTTTAAATAGAATGATGCGCATGAATGAATCATAAAGTCTATTAATATAATGGATTATATAATTTTCATTGAATATAGAACTAAAAGTTTAATAACGAAAACATAGGGCGTGGTTGCTTGAATAATTCTAGGCCTTAGCTATCTAGTAAACTTTTGCTATTATCTTAATTGATTTTAGTTTGCACATTTTATTCATTCATATAGATAGATTATTATAGATTTTTATTTTTGTTCTTCGAAATATTGGGGAGGAGAGCGAAACAATATGCTCTCTTCTCTCTATTTTTGTTATCGGGAGATCGCCTCCTTCGCCCTCCTAAAGTCTGATCTTATGGTTTCATTGATGTTACATTAGTGATAAGGATAAATATCTAATGTGAGATTTATAAGTGGGTAGTATAATAACTAAACCTAGTACCATAATTTAGCCTACATTTGTATGAATTTAAGTAGTTATTTTGATTAGTTTAGTTTATTCATGTTTAGATTAGTTTCTCTTACTTATATACATTTACTTTTAGTATTTTTATTTTGTTGTTTATTTATTTTACATAATCTTTATGAGTTACTCTTCTGTCACTACTACTATTACCCTTAGATGTGATAAATTTTAATATTTCTCAATAAAGAATTGAAAAAAAAGTCTACATGAACCAAGCACAATATTGGTAAAAGTTCTCAATATTTAATAAAAATACACTATAGTTAGTGTTGGCCAAAATCGGTCTTGGTCTTGCACTTTGCAAGACCAAGACTACCTAACTGTTGCGAAACCAGGACTGGGAAAAAAATCAATTTTTTAAATAAAAATTTACTTATACTTGACAATCTTAGTTACTATATGTTAATAATTATTATAAACAATATACTTTTGCAATTAACTTCTCTAATTTTTAATTCGGGCTTACTTAGGTTTCTTCTTTCTAAAAATTACTGTAATATCCCTATAGTAATAAGCTAATAAGTAACTTCAACACTGTTGCGAGACTCTTGTGCAAGTCCAATACCATGGCCATGACTGAGTTTGCAAGAACAGGACTCGCATTTGGGAAACAATAACTCTAGTACTTTATACTTTTGTAACATAGACTACAAATGCAGAAATATAAATATATATATGACTCACCTTGTATTGGAGTGTAGATATTTAAGTAGAGGCAGTCTTCGCTCTGGTTCTGGAGGTAGGGCAGGAGCCTCTTGAGGTAGTCGAGGCGCCCCCTGGGCATCCTCTCGAGGGCGGCGGTCTCGTTGCGGATGTCGGGCAGCTTTTGCGGGCAAACCGGACCGTGCTTGTCGGCGTTTCGGACGCCGTCCCATGGCGGGGAAGTCCTCGTGGGGCTGAAGCGATTGGCTCCGGTCGGGGGCATTGCGTAGGGCACCCCCAGGTAGACCTCGATCGGCTTGAGGTGCCTCCCGGACCCCACTGCCCGGACAACTCCTTGGATTTTACCAAACCGAGTCGATACAATCCTTGGACCACCGCCGTCGGCCCGCAGAACGCAGCATAAGCCTACCACCACCGCTAGACCCCACATCTCCGGCCCATAGCACTGCAACAGAACAAACGAGATACATCAATTAACTATGAAAAAAATCATATTTAATTATAATTAGTTACTAGGTATATATATATATATATATATATATATATATATATATATATATATATATATATATATATATAAGTTAAGCGTCGGCGGGCTTTAAAAATAAAAAAAAAGAAGGAAAAAGGATCGAGAAACAATACTCACGGCTTCTGAATAAACACTGCTTTATTCGTTCAATAATCTGCCTTATATACAATTGTTATGTTTATTTACATTACAAGATGGTATTAAGGCTGATATCGCCAGTCTCCGGTCTTTATCTCCCCCCCACCAGTTTACGAATAGGATTTTCGGAAACTTATAAATTCCTAGATCGGAGCCACCGGTATCAGCCTTAACCCTTTACAATTATTCGTACCAGTATAAACTTAAAGTACACCAAAACTCACTTCCACTCCGCTGGAACGAGAAATAAATAAAAAGAAATAAAACACAGAAAGTAAACACACAACGTCTTATTAACAATGGAACAGAACTCTTAATCCTATAAAAATTACAATCGCCTCTACTGTGTTGCTATATCTTTATTTACAAGAACAACAAAACAAAAAAAATGACATCATCAACAATAAAAAAAAACATATTTCTTATAATACGCGATAAGGGTACTACGAATCAATTGGTTTATGTACCGGTTCTAACATTGGGAGCTTCAATTGTTCAATATGAACAGTTCTCCTCTTCTTAGGTTCGTTAATGCTTTCAATGGTTAGCAGATTATGCTCCCTAATAGCAACCACTCTGAATGGGCCCTCGTACCGTAACAATTGTTTCCCTCTGTTGGTTCCAATTCTACGGTACACTATTGTTCCGATTTTTAATTCTCCCATTCGGTCACGTACCTGCACATTCTGCCGCGCTACCCGCTTCTCCTTTTCCCGCTGAATTCTCCCCGTTACCTTTCCCCACGTCTTTTCTACCTCTACCCTAGTACTCTGGATTTGCTCTACGAGATGTTCATTGGTCGTTGTTTCCCCCCAATCTCTCCTTGGCCTGCGCATCCCGAATAGTATTTCCACAGGTGAAAACCCCGTTACGGAGTGGATCGAATGGTTATAAGCTGTTACGGCTTTCTTCATCGCAACATCCGGCTCCAACCCTTTCTCTCCCTGATATACACGGATGTGGTCACTCAACGTGCTGTGCAATCGTTCGATTCCTCCTCTACTCTTAGGGTGTCCCGGTGTGTTATAATGCCACACAACCTCTAACCTTTTCACCTCCTCCCTAATCGCGGTATTGTCGAACTCTCTGCCCCCGTCTGATGTGATCCTCTCGGGAACTCCGTAAAACTGTATCCAGATTTGTAGGGCTTCCGCAACTGCATTGGCAGACTTGTCCATGACCTGATGTGCCATAGCTACTTTACTAAAGGTGTCGATGATCGTGACCCACTTGAACCCTTTCTAGGTGAATGTATCAATCTGGAGGTCTTGTAGCGGCATATTCCCTGTAGGTGTCTCTTCCTGAACTCCTCTGGGGGGTGTCGATCATACTTTGTGCGCATACATACCTCGCATTTCCCGATGATTCCTTGGATAGATTTTTTCATTCCCCACCAGAAATACTTTCGCCGTAATGCCTGCAACGTCTCGTTGACGCCTCGGTGGTTGGTCTTCCCCTGGTGGTATGCCAATGTGACTGCTTGTTGTTGCTCCTCATCCTGTACGGTTTCCACTGCATACTTGCACCGGATGATCGTTCTATCCATGCCTATTCGCTCGGATCTCCACATCCGCTTTATTTTCTCCCATACCGTGTTGTTCCCAACATAGAGATGGTGTGTCTTTCCCGGTTCCGTGGCGTCCTTCAGTGCCGTACGGATTTGCTCCTCGCTCACCCCGGGTTGCGACCAAATGACGCGAATCCTACTTTTCCCGTATCTTCGGTAATCTATTTTCATGATCCCTGTTGTCCTTGTTTTCCAGATTACCTGTCTATGCTTGTCGTTGATGATTTCGTCTATTTCCTCCATCTCCGCTGGTCTTTCCTCCGCTGAGCTATCTTCTTCCGGGGACCCCTCCCTGTCCTCTATACTGACGGTATCATCTGCCCCTTCACCCTCAGGAGTCCATTCCCTCAAGAATTGGCGCACGTCCCGCGATGGACCTCCCCCGTCCTCTTCTACCGCGTTGATCATGATGGCCCTAGAGAGCCAGTCTGCCACCACGTTTTCCTTTCCCGGCTTATACACCACCTCCATGTTGTACTGACTAAGGAATTCTTTCCATCTCGTGACCCTCGCAGAGGTTTCCTTAAGTTTTCCTACCCACTGAAGGGGTTTGTGATCGGTGTGGACTCGAAACTTCCTCCCAAATATGTATGGCCTGAAATGGTCGATGGCCCACACTATCGCGAGTAGCTCCCTCTCTAACGCGCTGTACCGTGATTCCGCGCTCGTAAGTCGTCGGCTCGCGTATGCTATCGGACGTTCACCCTCACTTCTGCCCTGGGACAAAACGGCCCCCAACGCGTATTCGCTCGCATCGGTGGTGATGTTGAACTGCTTCTCAAAATCCGGGAACGCCAATACGGGTTCTGCCTGCAACCTATCCATGCATTTCCGAATATTATTTTCCATTTCTGGTGTCACCACGATCCTCGCGCCTTTCTTCAGCAAGTTATTGATAGGTACCAAGTATTCTGCCATCTCAGGTACGAATCTTCTATAATAATTCAGCGTCCCGAGAAGCCTACGAATCCCTTTAACGTCCCGTGGCACCGCCATTCGTGTGATTGCCTCCACCTTTGCCGCATCCGGTCTGACCCCCTCGCTAGAAATAGTGTGGCCTAAAAAATTGATCCGCGTTTGTCCCAACAGGGACTTCTCGCTTGACAGTTTCAGCCCGAATTGTCGCAGCCTTTCGAATACCGACCTCAAATGCCCCACGTGTTCGGCTTCCGTTCTGCTAAAAATCAGCAGGTCGTCCATATATACTTGACATACGGAGTCGTCGATACCCCTCAAAAATTCGTCCATCAGGCGTTGAAACGTTATGGGCGCATTCTTCAGACCAAACGGCATTCTGGTGAATTCGTAATGCCCCCTTTCGAATGTAAACGCCGTTTTATGTTGGTCCTTCGGGTGCATCCGTATTTGGTGATATCCCGCCTTGAGGTCCAACGTGCTAAACACCACAGCCCCACTCAACCTATCGAGTATATCTTCGAATCTGGGGATCGGGTACTTTTCGTCTACCGTGTTGTCGTTCAACTTACGATAGTCCACTACCACTCTGTATTTTTCCTTATTATCCCCCGGCGCTGCCTTCTTTTTCACCGCCCACAGGGGACTATTAAATGGCGAGGTGCTATCGACTATGATCCCTTGCTCCTTTAGGCTTTCCAATTCCTCCCGAATATGCTGCCTCAGCGCCTGCGGGTATCTCCTTTCCTTTACGTAGGTTACCCTATCTTGCTTCAGTGGAACTTCGTGTACCGTCTTCCCTGTTACCCCATACCTCGCCCCCTGAAGAAAATATCTTCGAACTCCGCTTGTAACGCCTTTCTCCAGTCCTCCACCCTGTTCACCGCTCCTATCCGCACCCTTCTTTCTCTCGCGACCCCTATACATCCAAATTTCCTCTTTCCCAGCCTAATACTCCAAGCTCCTCCACGGTTTCTAATGCTTACCCCTACCTGTCCTAACAAATCACACCCTATTATGACTTGGTACTCCCGTGTCATGCTCTCTACCACATGCACCTTTAGCTCACCCTTTTTCCCTGCCCACCGATCAAGCGTAATTGTCGCTTCCCCTTCTACCTTACAGGGACCACCCAGAGTGATTAGCTGGCAGCCACAGTTTTGTATCCGGAGTACCCTCTCGCTCCCGCACACTTTCCCCAACGCCCCCCGAGTCAAGATAGTACTCGAGCTCCCTGTGTCCACGAGACACTTCACTCCCCCGTCTACTTCAATAATCGGCAACCAGCATGGCTTACCTCTAATACTGTTGCAGGTTGCTGTGCGGTCGCCTCTCTGCTGACACCCTTCTCAGATGCCGCCTCGCTTCCTCCTTACCGCCGTCGCTCGTCGTTGCTCGCTCCGTTGGCTGCTCCTGCCTCCTTCGCCTCCACTGCTGGCTGGTTCATCAGTCTCCGTTCCCGACGTCCCCGACTCCTCGGTTGCCTCTTCCGAAGATCCGTCTCTCTGCTGCATCCTAGCTCGTCTTTTCAACTTTTGTCCGTTCACCTCCATTGGCTCATCTAGAGGTCTCTCTCTCCTGCGAAACATGTATGGGCACTGTCTAGCAATATGCCCTTCGGTCCCGCATTCGAAACATCTAGTGCGCGGACATTGTGCTACCAAATGTCCCGGTTTCCCGCACCCGTGACATTTTCTGTCTTCCCTCCGGGGTCCATTCCTAGGCCTGGACTGTCCGGATCTTCTCTCGCCCGTCGTGGCTTTTTCTCCGTTCGGGTGTTTCATTTCCCTCTTCTTCCACCCTATCTGGGCTGTCCGGGGTCGTCTGTCATTCACTCGGGTCCACCCTGGTTCCTCTACTTCCATCCGATTCTCTTCCTCTCTTGCACTCAGATCTATCATTTCTTGGGCACACTCGAGGAACGATCGCTCTCTAGGCAGTCCGTCCCTCCTCCCAGTCTCCTTAGCCAACTGAACCTTGAGTATTGTCGAAAGGAATTCCATCCTGGCTTCGACCTCTCCCACACTCATGGTTTCACGCATTTTCTCAGTTATGCGGTTGTACTTCGCCACTAGTACCCCCGCATACTGTCCTCTTGTCTGGCGTTGGGACCGACGCTCCCTGAACATTTGAAAGATATCTTCTTCCGGCGTCCATCGGCCCCCTCCGAAAGCCTTCTTCAAACGCTCCTTGATCACTGGATTACAGTTATTACAGTATTATTACAGTCACAGTTAAGGACACTTATAATAGAGTTCAGAGAGTCCATTCATACCGTATA